TACTACTGTCATCTACTACTGTCTTGTACTACTGTCATCTACTAGTTGTATTGACCACTGCTGTCGTCACTGGTTCATGTTGTGCTGTGTCTACCAACGTCTTGTACTACTGTTGTCATCTACTGCTGTCTTGTACTACTGATCTACTGATGTCTTGACGCTCTGTCCTCTACTACTTTGTGTATACTGTCGTCTACCAACTGTTGTCCTTTACTGATGCATCTACTACTGTCTTTGTATACTGTCCTCTACTACTGTCTTTGTACTACTGTCACTCTACTACTGTCTTGTACTACTGTTCGTCTGCACCAACTTGTTATTTACTTGCTACTGTCATCTTATGTGTTTGTGCTACTGTCCTCTACTACTGTTGTATGCTACTGTCATCTACTGCTGTCTTTGACCTTCACTGTCTCTACTCACGTCTTTGTGCTGCTACGTCATCTACTACTTTCTATGTTGACTTGCTGACCGTCTACTCACTGTCTTGTACTCACTGTCTCATCTACTTACTGTCTTGACGCTACTGTCATCTACTACTGTCTTGTACTGTCAATACTGTGTTGTACTACTGTCACTCTACTATGATATTTGTACTTTACTGTCCCTCTACTGCTGTTTGTATACTACTGTCATCTACTGCTTTTGTTTGTACTCTGTCCTCCACACTGTTTTGTACTCTGTCATCTACTACTGTTCACTCTTTCTCAACTATATTTGTTGCTGCTGTCCTCTACTACTGTCTTATTGCTACTGTCATCTTCTTGCTGATGTCTCTACTGTTGTTGCTACTGTTCTCTACTACTGTCTTTGTACTACTGTCATCTGCTACTTTTGTATTTATGCTGCTGTCGTCTGCCTGCGTTGTACTACTGTCATCTACTTGCTGTCTTTACTGCTGTCTCTACTACTGTCATCTACTGTACCTATTTGTTCTTTACTGTCATCTACTGCTGTTGATACTTGTGCTCATCTACTGCTTTTGTCTTGTGCTATGATACTCTGTACTACTGTCTTTGACTGCTACTGTCATCTGCTGCGTGTTGACTAATGTCATCTACTGTCTGTTTGTACTACTGTCCTCTTTCTACGACTTTGTATTGCTACTGTCACTCTACTTCTGTCTTGTACATTGCTGTCACTCTGCTACTGTCTTGCATTACTGATATCTACTACTGTCTTGTGCTACTTCATATACTGCCGTCCTGTACTACTGTCATCTACTACTGTCTTCTACTGTGATGTTACGCTATGTCACTCTACTACTGTCTTGTACTACTGTCCTCTACTACTGTCTATGCTACTGTCCTCTGCTAACTGTCATTGCTACTGTCCTCTACTATGATATTTGTGCTACTGTCATCTGCTACTGTTTGCATCTACATCTTGTCTCTACTTACTGTCATCTACTACTGTCTTGTTGCTGCATAATCTACTGCTGTCTGTGCTACTGTCATCTACTACTTGTCTTTGTGCCTACTGTCATCTACTACTGTCCTCTGCCAACGTCATTCTACTGTTCTCTATGTTTTGTACTAC